ATGACTCTGCTGTGCAAGATGTATTTGTACTACACGAATCTGTGCAGCTGAAATTCTAGACATAAAAGAGTCAATCTTCTTCCCTTTTTTGAAATGGTTATTGGGAAGACAATAACCCTGGAAGGTTTATTTATTGTTCTTATTTTACAGTTGAGGAAACTGAGGCAAACAAAGAGAGATTAAAGTGACTTGCCCAGGGTCATATAACTAGTAAGTGTCTAAAGCTGAATATGAACTCATGTCTTCGTGACTGTAGGTTAAAATCTCTACCTGCTGTGCCACCAGCTATCTAATAATAATCCTAGTAATACTAATAATACTAATAATAATAGGTAACGTGTAAAATGCTTTAAAGTTGGCCTTCATTTTGCCCTCACAATAACCCTGGAAAGTAGGTATTATTATTATCATCTCCATTCTGCAGATGAGGAAACTGGGGCAGGCAGAGGTTAATCAACTTGCACAGGGTCACACAGCTAAGAAATGTCTAAGGCTATATTTGTACTCATTTCTTGACTCCAGGCCTAGCACTCTATAGTAGTGGGACCACAATGTATGAACATTTTTGATAGTTCCTTATTGGGTAATAGCAAATTGCTTTCCAGAAAAATTGTCCCAATATATAGGTCAACAGCAGCACAATAGAGTCTGTCTTTCTTCACAGACTTACCAAAAATGAATTTGATCACTTTTACCCTTTCCACCAAGTTGAAGGGAACAAGGTGGTACCCATAGTTATCTAATTTTCCATTCCTCTGTATATAAGAGAACTTAAACTTTTTTTTCAGATAGTCATTGAACTATCTGATCCATATCCTTTGATAATTTATCTATAATACTGGGGAACAGGTCATACTAATAAATTTCTGGTGATTCCTTATATATTTTGCCTGTCATATTTTTCAAAAATTTTTGTAGGAAAGAATCTGGTTTCACACACACGTGCATGCATACATACGCACACACACACACTTTATTCTGACTGCATTGTTTCTGATTGTGTAAAACCTCTCTCTCTCTCTTTTTTTTTTTTACATAATAAATCCATCTCTCTTTGGCAGCCATTTCTGTACATTATTGACTTCTTGGGGGCTTTTTTGTCAGAAAGGAATACAGTCTTCCTTATTTCAACCTAAACGTGCAGACACAAAGACTTTCTAGTGTAATATTACTTACTCTATTTGAAAAAAAAATCCCCTTCCTCTTGAAATGGGAGTGTCTTTCAAAGATTGCTCCCCTTCCCCACTCCACCCTCTTTGTTCTGGTTCTTTTTCTCTCATTATTTGTCTATAATACCTATTATTCATTTATTCCTTTCTTTCTCCCACTTCTTTTCTCCCCCCTTTTCCCCAAAGCCTATTTGTGCCATTCAGTTCTTAATCAAGGCAAAATGGCTATTGTTTTGTTATCTTCTTCTCAAGACTACATCGCTATACAGCAACTAGTTAATCAGAAGTACTTATCTTGATACTGCTTCTCAGTCTGTGGTCTCAATGGTTTTGTAGATTAAAAACTGCTATATTGTCTCTGTTTGCTCCTGATTTTTCAAGTTAATATAAATTCTTGAATTACCATCTTTTGTCTTGAAAGAGAATTCATAGCTTGGCTGATTTAGTGTTTTAGCCTTTAACTTTTTATCTATCATTGAAAATGATTTTCTCATTTCTTATTTATGTAGGAAAATCTTATGCAATTATACTTGCTGCTTTTTAAGGAGATACTTTTGCTCTTGGATTACTGTATAGTCACATCCTTGTCACTGTAGTCTCGAAACTTGAAAATTGTGTGTCTGGATGATTTGAAATTTTTTTCTTTCCTTCTTTCTTTTTTTTTTTTTTTTGGCTAGGCAATGGGGTTAAGCGACCTGCCTAGGGTCACACAGCTAGTTAGTCTTATGTGTCTGAGGCTGGATTTGAACTCAGGTCCTTCTGAATCCAGGGCTGGTGCTCAATCCACTACACCACCTACCTACCTCTGGATGATTTGAATTTGAGGTTCACCTGTTGTCATCTTTTGAAAGTCCACAACCTGTTGTTCCTTTTTTTCAATATTTTGAGGAAATTTTCTTGCATAATTACCTGAAAGAGTGGTATCAGTTTCTTTTCTTCTTCACAGTTTTTGGGAAGTCTGATGATTCTCAAATTTTCTCTCCTTGCTTTTTACTCAGAATCTAACCCTTTTGCCTGTGTCAATCCCAATTCTTTTTCTGGATGTGAAGTTTTATGAGGTCATTTTTTCTTCTTCCCTATTGTCTTTACCATTTTGTTTTCCACTGAAATGATTTTGTTTTTCATTAGGCCTATTGTTTTGCTTATAATTGTTATGAATAGTTCTATACTATTGACTTTCATCATCCGGTTTGAAGGTTTTAGCAACAGGTCTTAGAGTTGGTATGGTGACATTCCGACGCTGACAATGGCATGGAGAAGGAAGATTGGGGGCAAAGAGACCCATTAAAAATAATCTCAATAACTCAGTGAAGAGGTTACAAGGACCTGAACCAATTTGGGGAATGAATGACTGGACAGAGTCTGCAGTTGTTCCTGGCCTTCTTTGATTTCAAATGTCTGTTGTCTGATTTTTGCAGCAAGTTTGCCGTTACACTGAGAAATGGAGCTACTTGTTAAAAGATTTCTGATCATAGCCTGGCACATGACTTTTATAGTTTTGATTTTTTTCATGCTCACAAAGAATTTTATAAACTAATTTAGTCATCCCAGAATCAATTCTATTCATTGTCATATAACCCCCATTCATTGTTACAAATAGAAGTTTCATAAGAAAAGGTGTGAAATCTAGCAATCATTTTCAACTAAACCCAACCAGTCCATAACTAGTAGAGCAGACCTATTTCTCTAAATCAGATTGGTAGATCTGTTCATTTCATCCTTCATTGGGTTAAAAATGTTCTCAAAAGCCTCCATTTTTATAATATTGATAGTGTAAATGGTTCTGGTTCTACTCACTTTGTTTTGTATTAATTCATATAGTCTTGCCATATGTTTTTGTATTCATCGATTTCCTTATTTCTTACAGCAGAATAGTGCTCCATCACATTCATCTACCACAACTTATTCAACCCAGGAGAACAATTTATACAGTAACAACAACATTGTAAAAACAAATAACTTTGAAAGCTGTAAGAAGTATGATCCATACAATGACCATTCATAATGCCCAAAGACTTATGATGAAACTTGCTCACGATTATAGAGAGCTGATGTGTTTAGAGCAAAAAATGAAATATATATTTTGTATACAGTTATTGAGGGAATTTACTTCGCATGAAGCAAAATTTGTTTTTTTGTTACAATTGCATATTTTATTACAATAACTTTGTTTTTCTTTTCTTTTTTGTAGTGGTATTGCATATAGAAAAGAAAAAGAGATCTCTATTAATGTTAATTTTTTTTAAAATAGAGAGGTAAGGGGTGCTACAGATGTGGAATGTTGCATGCACTTTCAGATAAATTCACTTAACTGTTTTGCTTTGTTATAAGAAAATTGTCATAAAGTGGGAATAATCTATAAATGTACATATTGTAAAAATAAAACATGTTAATAAAACTTTAAAAATTAAAAAAAGCTATCAATAAACCATTGTTGTTATAGATTTCTCAAAAATATCTAAATATATTAAGAAATTGGGTCATTTAAAATTAAGAATAATTTCTTTGAATTTTTTATTGTTACTATTTTATATTATATTAATTCCTGACTGAAACCTTCCCCCTCTCCCCTACTCAGTGAGTCATCTCTTGTTGTAACCAAGAAGAAAATAGAGAAAAAGAGCAGTTCAGAAAAACTAACCAGTAATTTGACCATATAAAATAGCATATGCAATATTCCACAAGTGTAGTTCCTCACCTCTGCAACAAAATAAATAAGGTGCATTTTGATCATTTTTTAAAAAAAGAAATATTTTAAGATTTTCCCACCCCCACCTCCTTTCCTATAATTGATCTATTTTGTGATTAGATTCTCCCATCTTGGTTTTGGGCACACCTGTAGTGGCAGTAGTCTAGAAATGGATAGGTATATAGGCATGGCAGATCCCTGTTGCCCTGCTCTAATACATCTCTATTATGGGGGTTAAGTGCCATTGTGAATCAATCAATCAATAAGTATTTACTAAGGTTCTACTATTTAAGAGAGGATACAGTACAGTGGAAAGAGCAATAACTAAATCTAGAAATTTCTAGGACTTGGGTTCAAATCCTGACTCTAATACTACTTGTGGGAATTAGACTCCCTGGGCTCTCTAAGTCATTTTATAGATAAGTTTGAGTTTTCTCATCTATAAAATGAAAAGGTTGGACTAGGTGATCTCTGAGGTCCCTTCCTGTAATTTTATGTGCCAGGTACTGTGTTAGGTGCTGGGATACAAAGACAAAAAGAAGTAGGCCTTGGCTTAGAGGAGCTTATTTTCTATTGGGGAGAAAGATAGATAGATAGATAGATAGATAGATAGATAGATAGATAGATAGAT